AACAGTGCAACACAATGCCAACACAGTACATAGTTTCCACCTCCCACAATGATAATTCGTTTCAAAGTGCTGATTGTTTGATACAAAGCACTCATCGATTCTCTCCCACTCCCAATCCCACATCTCTCTCCCCATTCCTCTTGGCTGACGTCCAGACACGGTTAGTTACTCAGTTCAACCGCAGGGTGGCGCTCACGAAGAGCAATTGGATTGATAAGGTCCACAGTCAGACTTGATGGCACAGAATTTGTATCCAATATAGAAATACATATTATGGGATCCTTATAGTTCTTAACAGTTCCTCGCTTCCGTGCAATTAATTTTACAGATCACTGCGTGGAAGAAGCCTCCAGGAGGGAACAATTTAATGATGTGTGACAGCCATGGGTGTCAATTTGGCTTAGCGTGGTAGCACTTTTGGCAGGTTGGAAGGTTGTGGGTTCAAACCTCGCGTCAAGACTTGAGCTCATAGTCCAGGCTGACATTCTAGTTGTAGTACTGGGGGAGTGCTGCCTTGTTAAACCAAGCGCCCCATATCCTCAGGACTAATGGACATGAAAGATCCTGCGAGACTTCCAAAAGAGAAGGAAGTTTCTCCCTGGTCAATAATCTAGACACATTGGTCATCCACCTCATGTCTGCTGGTGAGACCTCTGCTGTGTACAAAATGGACGCCACAAAAAACAGTCACTGCCCTCAACATATTGCAGACATGTTTTGAAATGACAAGGGACACTATAAAATGCAAGTTCTTTGTCATAGATTGCTTACCATTTCCTGTGGTTACGAGCAGGAAACAAATAGATTTCTTGTTTCTCAATCCTATTATAACATGGGAGGGGGGAGGGGGAGGGGGGAGGATGGTTTGAGGAGAAGCTCAGCTCACGTTTCTGATGACAACAACCTGAACTCACTTGAACCAACGTGGCATAACACTAAACATGACACCTGGTGTATCTGGGGCTAGGGTTAGACCAACCATGAACCTTAAAGGGTTCACCATATTGTGCAACTCAGATTTCTAGTCTGTTTTTCACAGATTTAGGCTTAAAAATCACAATAGAACCTCAGCAACAGCAATGAATCGATTACCCCCATGCCCCCCTTTTTTTCACAGGGTTTAGGAAGGGGTTAAACTGCTCTCCACACTCATTGTTTACGGTATCATCAGAATCCTATTGCAGCCTCATGATATGGAAATAATGCAATCCTGATGCATCCCACAAAATATACAGTCAATTCATTTTACAGTATATTCTGTGAAGCGATTTGAGACGTCTTGAACACGTGATAAGGCGCTATATCAAATGCAAGGATTGTTATTATTATTATCCCGGCATTTTTACACCCGCCCGCCACTGCATTACCTCCACTGCAACTCATGTTAAGCTATCCTATGTATACTGGCAGAACTGGGGATAGTTTTGCGCCTTGGTGCGTGCATGGCTCCGGTTAAGAGTGTTACACACATTCCTGCTTTTAATCTTCTTCCAAATTGGTAGCAAGTCTGAGGCGTAAGATTCCATCTAATCTTCCACCGCCTGTTGGACCATTTTGTCTTAAAATTTTAAGATTACCCAGAATTGTGGAATTTCTTCAAATCGGTCACAATTTGGAAGGCGTTTTTTTTTTTACACGGGTCTTAAAATTGAAGTCGAATTAAGGAAACATTCCACAGATTTGTTCAGGATCTTTAATTTTGACGAAAAAACATTTGAGATTTAAGTGGTTCACGGCTTTCAATTTTGGTTTTAAGAGATTTGAGAAAAAAATGTTTGTGTTCTACTCCTGTAAGTGGAATTTGGGGCGTTAGATAAAAGACGAGAAGGGGAATGAGGAGGGTGGTTCCGATGAGGAAGTTAAAACCATCTCCAAAACAGCAATCAAATGCATAACGTAGGGCAGTCCTACTGTTGGGATTTGGTTCAATAAGTTCAGCCCCCCCCGTTCAAAAGGAACACGGAAAAATGACAGCGTTAGGTGTCATTAACTCATTGTTGACATCGCTTAGGAAAGGAAGTGAAGTCAGTGCGCTCTTCCTGCACACAGTGGCGTGCGCAGGACGTGACATCCGCGGCAATCTGACAAGCCGGAAGCCCGCTGTTATTTCGTCCACAGGAGACCCGCATTGACAGTCAACTCACGATCCATCGGGGTGCTGAATGCCTGGGACGCCCTGTGTACAACACGCACAGGAAATTAGATGGGGAAACCCTCCCAAAAAACTTTTACATATCAACTTTTTGATCTTAATAAAATATTCACAACCAAACCATCAAATCACTCCCAAGCCAACTGACCGGACCCACAATTGCCCGGAGCAGAGCTGGATCAGTTAATCTTCTTTCCCGAGGTTTGATTATTCAAAGTGACCAGAAACTTTTGGCGGGTGGGGCTGATGGGGAAATGCAGAAGCAGACATTTGTGCAATGCATTGCTGTATAAGATAATAATCTGCATATAAGGGAGTTCCTCCCATGTCCTGGCCAACAATCATTCCTCATCGCCCCCCACCGCACCCCGCCACTCCCAACCCCGATAAAAAATTGAAACCTTTAAAAAGAAACTTAACACTTAAACCTTCGGCAAGTTTCCTCACTCCACACAGCTCTGTTTACCCAGCAGTAAGTAGGAACCCGTTTCTGGGGTAATAATCCCTTACGAAAACGAACTTGAGTTACTCCATCCACGACTGTTTGTGGGGACGACGCTGTGCGTAACTGACTGCCGCGTTTCACCCGCAAAATATACAGTCGATGCGCTTTACAGTCTATTCCGCGAAGCGCTTAGAGACGTCTCCGAGACGTGATGAGGCGCTGCATCAAACGCCAGGCCAGCCATCGTGACCGTTCGCGGGACCTCTGCTGCGTGGGCACCGGAGCCCGCGGAAAAAACACGGAGAGCCGGCGCACTTTGGCCGGTAAAATCACGCAAAGGGCTCGGAGACCCCCCCCCCACTCCTCGCCGGGCGAAAGGCTCCGCGGGAAACACCAGGGCAAACATTCGAAACGTTCTTCTTCGTTTCTCGCCCCCAACGGTACGGTCCATTCGCTTCACAGTCTCATTCGGTGAAGCGCTTTGAGAACGTCTCGAAGACGTGATGAGGCGCTGCGGCAAATGCAACGATTATTATTATTATTATTGCGCGTTTCCCCCTACTCTGCCTTTTGGGTATAACAAGAGAGAGGAGAGAGTGGGGAAAAGAGAGGGGGTGGTGGGGGGGTGGAGAGAGGGGGGGGAGAGAGAGAGGGGGGGGGATCACCCCCCCATCACCCCCCCAACCCCCCCACAACCCCCCCCACACAACCCCCCCCCCCGACAACTCCCCCATCACCCCCACAACCCTCCCGTCACCCCCACAACAACCACCCATCACCCCCACGCCCCCCCCCATCACCCCACGCCCCCCCCCATCACCCCCACGCCCCCCCATCACCCCACGCCCCCCCCAGGCTCGGGCTGTGCGGTGTCCTGGTTCCAGGCCGCCGGGACCAGGCGTTTTGGGGGAAAGACACGCGAAGCAATTAAAAAGCAGCGGCTCCGCGGGGTTGGCTTTCAACCCACTCTGACCCCCCGCCCCCCATCCCAGGAACCGGCCCAACCTTTCTATGCCCTCCCCCCCCCCCGCCCCTCCTCCCCACCGCCCACCCCCTGCCCTCCCCTCACCCCCTGCCCTCCCAACCGCCCACCCCCTGCCTCCCCCGCCCCTCCTCCCCTCACCCCCCCCCTCCCCTCCCCCACCGCCCACCCCCTGCCCTCCCCTCACCCCTCCCCACCGCCCACCTCCCCTCACCCCTCCCCACCGCCCACCCCCTGCCCTCCCCTCACCCCCCCCTCCTCCCCACCGCCCTCCCCCCCTCCTCCCCTCACCCCCCCCCCCCCCTCCCCTCACCCCTCCCTCCTCCCCACCGCCCACCCCCTGCCCTCCCCTCACCCCCTCCCCTCCTCCCCACCGCCCACCCCCTGCCCTCCCCTCCCACCCCCTCCTCCCCACCGCCCACCCCCTGCCCTCCCCTCACCCCCTCCCCTCCTCCCCACCGCCCACCCCCTGCCCTCCCTCACCCCCCCCCCTCCCCGGGCTCTGTGAGTCGGTCACTATGGTGGACAACACTGGCAATGGGAGCAGCAGCGGCGGTGAGGCGCCCATGGTGAGTGGGGTTAGATATAAAGGGGGTTACCCCCCTCTCTCTCTCTCTCTCCCCCCTCTCTCTCTCCCCCCCTGTCTCCCCCCCCCCCCCCTCTCTCTCTCCCCCCTCTCTCTCTCCCCCCCTCTCTCCCCCCCCTGTCTCCCCCTCTCTCTCTCTCCCCCCCGCTGTCTCCCCCTCTCTCTCTCTCCCCCCCTGTCTCCCCCCCCCTCTCTCTCTCCCCCCTCTCTCCCCCCCCCTGTCTCCCCCCCCTCTCTCTCTCCCCCCCTCTCTCCCCCCCTGTCTCCCCCCTCTCTCTCTCCCCCCTGTCTCCCCCCCCCTCTCTCTCTCTCCCCCCCTCTCTCTCCCCCCTGTCTCCCCCCTGTCTCCCCCCCCCTCTCTCTCTCTCCCCCCCTCTCTCTCCCCCCTCTGTCTCCCCCCCCTCTCTCTCTCCCCCCCCCTCTCTCTCCCCCTGTCTCCCCCCCTGTCTGCCCCCCCTCTCTCTCCCCCCCTCTCTCTCCCCCCTGTCTCCCCCCCCACACACACACACACACACGCGCGCGCGAGCCGCCGCTTGCGATATAAATACAGTGTAAAGTGCGAGGGGATCAGATCTCAGGCGGAGAGAGAGAGGGAGAGAGAGGGAGGGAGAGAGGGAGGGCTGAGTGTGTGAGTGTGTGTGGGGGGAGAGAAGAGATCAGAGGCAACGATTGCTGCCCGTCTTGGAGTCGAGGGAGAGACAGAGAGAGAGAGAGAGAGAGAGGGACACAGAGAGAGAGAGAGAGAGAGGGACACAGAGAGAGAGACCCAGAGAGAGGGACACAGAGGGAGACCCAGAGAGAGGGACACAGAGGGAGACCCAGAGAGAGGGACACGGGGGGGGGAGAGGGAGGGAGAGGGGTCTCCGATTGTTTGCAAAGATCTGGCAAAAGTTTTTAAGCAGGAAAAGTGGGAGCTGCTGCATGGAGCGGGATGAGGTATGTCAGTGAGCTTTGCTGATCTGTCTGTCTGTCTATTTATTTATCTGTCTGTCTGTCTGTGTCTGTCTGTCTGTGTCTGTGTCTATCTGTGTCTGTCTGTCTGTGTCTGTCTGTCCTGATGGCTGTATTTTTGTAACGATGTGGTTTTCACTGCCACTGTTGGGGGGTTTGTGTTGCTGTTTGTGTTTGTGTTGGGGTGGGGGTTGGTGTTGGGGTGGGGTTGGGGTGGGGGTGGGTTGGGGTGGGGGTGGGGGTGGGTGTTGGGGTGGGGTGGGGGTGGGGTGGGGGTGGGTGTGGGGTAGGGGTGGGTGTTGGGGGTGGGGGTGGGTGTGGGTGGGGTTTGTGTTGGGGTGGGGGTGGGGTGGGGGTTGATGTTGGGTTGATGTTGGGGTTGGTGTTGGGGTGTTGGGGTTGGTGTTGGGGTGGGGTTGGGGTTGGTGTGGGGGTTGGTGTTGGGGTGTTGGGGTTGGTGTTGGGGTGGGGTAGGGGTTGGGGTTGATGTGGGGGTTGATGTTGGGGTTGATGTTGGGGTTGATGTTGGGGTTGGGGTGTTTGGGGTTGGTGTTGGGGTGGGGGTTGGTGTGGGGGTTGGTGTTGGGGTGGGGGTTGGTGTTGGGGTGGGGGTTGGTGTTGGGGTGGGGGTGGTGTTGGGGTGGGGGTTGGTGTTTGGGGTGGGGGTTGGTGTTTGGGGTGGGGGTTGGTGTTTGGGGTGGGGGTTGGTGTTTGGGGTCGGGTGGGGGTGGTGTTGGGGGAGAGTCTGTCTGTGGTTTGGGAAGAGTCGCTCCTTTTAAGAAAGGTTTTTAAGAAAATATTTATCCCCATAATCTTTAATACGTGTCTGCGTTTATTTATCAATATAAATCTACGTGTATCTGCGCGTCGGAGAGCTTTCCTGCAGCGAAACTCGCGTGATGCGGGGACAGTGGAGTGTTATTAGTTGATAGCGTTGGTTCTGGGCTGGAACTTGTCTCTATTTTTGAGGCTGTGAATGCGTTTGTGTTCCTTTTATTATATATATATATATATATTATACATTTATCTATTTAAATAAACAAATGGTCTCGTTTGTAATAAAACCTTTACAAAAAAAAACTTCTTTTTCTCCCCTTCTGTCTCGCCACGATCATGTTCTTTCTCTTCCCCACAAACACCCACACACACTGAACTGGGATTAAATGTTACATTAATTGTCCCTTTCCCCCCCACAAAAAAAGTAAGGATTAGGTTAGATTTGTAAACATGTTTATTCTATTTATATTCTATTTATTTATTTATTCAATCTATTTGTTCTATTGTGGTCGGTGGTGTTTGAGGGGTGGGGAGAGGAGGTCGAATTAACACACAAGGCTGTGCAGGACAGGGTGGAGGGGAGATGGATAGCTTTATATTTCTGTCTCTATAAAGTGGTATCAATCTATAAATGAAACGAGACACATCATATGGAAACCCTCCAGCCAGAACCAAGCAGGCGACACTCTCGCCAACTCTTTTGAGATGCGGGTTGGTTTCATGTTGTATTTCAGATCCAATTGTAAGAATAGTTATGAATGAGTCAATCTGCCCTGAAAATTGACCAGATGTGGAAATCAACCCCCTCTCAATTTGATCAATTTCTCTTCCTTGTTACTGTAACCCTCTTTCCCTCTCTTCTCCCCCCACCCCCCCCCCCCCCCCCCTCTCCTCTCCAACCCAATCCCAACCCAGGTTGATGTTACAACCCGGATTACTTGTTATCATTGCAAAATCCACAAGATGAACTTGTCGCGTTTCCTTGAGCCATATTTGTTAAGCCTTTAGCAAGATCCCCCCACCCCCCCTATCCCCACCTTCCCATCCACACTCGATCCGGGTTCATAAGAACCTTTTCACAAGAATTGCGAGCTTTTATTTTGTAAAGAAAAAACAAGAGTGCTTTATTATCTTTTTTGGAGGCAGAAAAACATAAGAATCATTATTCTTATGCAATATACAATGCTCTGGAAAGAAATCTTGAGAATTTCTAGCAACTATTTTTGTGCATAAAGTGGAATTTCCCGATAGACCACATGGACCGCTGATGTGGTTACTGGATTTACACTCTGTGTGTGTGTGTGTGTGTTTGTGTGGAGGGGGGTGGGGGTGGTTAGAGATCGGAATTGAGATGTCAGGGACTTGTTTGCTAGTCTCTAATCTTTCTGATTGCTCAGCAGCAGTTATGTGGATGAAAATGTGTACTTGGATGTGGGCAGCCTTTGATGTGCCTCTTTTTGCCCCTTGGTCTTACTGCTTTGTGTCTTCATCTATATTTACCCCCCCCCCGCCCCCATGCTAGAAAACAATGCACGTCCGATAAACCTGACATAAGTCGTATCAGTTGGGATCATACATTTAATACGACTTACTCAAAGTATGAGTTATGTCAACTTGCATAAAATCTAAACTCTTGAACTGGACTTGGGCAGATGTATGACTTGGGTGATTTATATCGGTCAGGCTTATGCGAGTTTTACTGTATAATAATCTTGCGTTTGATACAGCACTTTCATGTCGGCAAGACGTCTCAAAGCGCTTCACAGGATGCGCTGTAAAGTGCAGTGTGTATGCGCATTTTGTAGACGAACGCAACAGCCAAAGAGATGTGAAGGGGATGACCAAGTTTATCCGGGGGAATTATAGACCAGGACACTGGAGACACTCCCTTCTCTCTATGAATAAATAATACAGTGAGATCTTTAACATCCACCCAAACGGGACCTCTGTTTAATAATAATTCTTGCATTTGGTGTAGCGCCTCACCACGTCCGAAGGACATCTCAAAGTGCTTCACTGGAATTACTGGAGTGAATGTGTATATGTAGGTACATAATGTCTCAGGACAGCACCTCTGACATCACAACGATTCCCCCAACACTGCACCGGAGTGTCAGGCTAGTAGACCAGGAGCTCAAAGTCCCTACGGCTTTGAGGAAAGGCTGCAAACATCTGGGGAAGTCCACTGAAGGAAGCCCATGTCACATCTTGACCTGAAGCAGCTGTTGCAGTGAAGGCCGTCTGTTTACTGCTGCTTCTGGCGATTTCCTCGCCCCACCCACATCTCCTTCCACCTCCCCTCAATTTCTTATACACTGGATTTGGAGAGAGCGAGAGAGAGAGAGCTATATAATCTGTTGCACATTGACCTGCTATTATGGCAGTACAGTATTAATGTATTAGGACATTGAGCTGATAGTCTAGGCTGACATTGCAGTGTAGTGCTGGGGGGTGAGTGGGAAGTAAGTGGGTTGCATTGCTAGAGATGCTGTCATCCTGACGGCGGATTAAACCGAGGTCATCTCAACCTGATCGGGTGGATGTGAAAGATCCCGAGGCACTTTTCGAACAGAGAAGGGAATTCTCTCCTTCCTGTGTCCTGGTTAACAATGCCCCAGATAGAATTGGCCATTCCTTTGCGACTGCCATTGCCGTGTGCAAACTGCTGCGTTTGCTCGTGAATCCACAGTCACTACACTCAGGAATTCCCTGTGGAGCACCAGGTGTTTGATGTCGTAGAATTGTCGGTGGTGTTGTTGTCGTCGTTAATGTGGCCTTGACGTCCTCTTGGCGTGAATGGCGCTATACAAGTGTAATTTGTTGTTGTTTCTGCAGCCCGGCCTGGCTTCAGGGGAAGGCTTAAACCTGGTCCTGACTGGAAGCTCCCAGTTTCACCACCAGGGAATGAAGCTGGAGGCTGTGATGGAACACCTGCAGAGGCAGCAGCAGGCGAGGCTTCAGATGGTGGGGAGGGAGAGGAAGGACCGCGAGATCCGAGACGCTCACATCTTCTACACTCAGCAGCTCGTAGCCCAGCAGGCAGGGCTGGTGCCTGCCGGAGCCAGGCCATCGCTGGGATCGCTGGTCACCGGGCTAGCAAGACCCTCGGCCTCTGCCTCTACCGTCCCGCGGGCCTCCGACAAGAGCAGCATGGACTCCGAACCTGAGGAGGACGCTTTCGAGGGAGAGGAGCCCGCCAGCGAAGCTGAGGAGGAGGAGGAGGAGGGGGATGAAGAGGAAGAGGAGACAGTGGCCAGAGGAGAGGCTGATGAGGACATGGATGGGGAGGAAAGAGACATGGACTACCTCAGGGGGAGGGCTGGTGCTGCGCTTCTCACCCCCAAACCCCCGCCACAGGCAAATCGCCCGACCAGCGACCCCCAGTCCCCATCACAGGGAAATAGCCGGGCTCTTTCGCCAACTCACACTCACTCAAAGTCACCCTCCGGCCACTATGATTGGGGTTACGAAGAACAGTTCAAACAGGTAAGATTATCTCTGCTCAGCGAGCGTTTGAGATGGCATAGCCTTCTGACTCTGAGGCGAGAGAGAGTGCTACCTCTGCGCCAGGCTGAAACACGGGCATTTATAGGGTGCCTTTCACCTGGGATGGACGTCTCAAAGGTTGCGTATTGTGTAATGTCACCATCACTGGAGATGGAGGAAGAGAGATTGAGGGTCCTGACTGCATTTTTAAGGGGGATTTCAAGATAGAGTCGGCAAAGGTAGGGGGGTGAGGGGGGGGGGGGGAGGTGTTTTGACCGAAAGTTACAGAGACCGCGGGCACAGTGACCAAAGGCAGGACTGAGCCAGTGGAGGGTTGGACAGAGGACTGGCCTGGGGAGGAGCGGGAGAGTGAAAGGCAAACGAAACGGAGGTCCTGTTTACAGAAAGCCGTGTTACATTTCACAGCTTATTCCAAAGTAAATGTTTGAAATCCTCCACGTAATTGAACAAGTATGATGTGTAACGGGGAAATCCCTAGCACAAGCTCTCACAAACCTGTTGTTCATCAGCCAAGCCCATTTAGACGTGCAGCGCCAAAGTGAAGTCTTAATTGCACAGATGATCTGTTGGGGATTAAGTGTCTGTATTACTTTGCAGGAGGAGGAGGTGGTGAGGGTGGGGGGAAAACCAGGGAAATATTTTTCTTGACAAAGTAGAAAGGTTATTAGCGTAACTATACCGCAAACCGGGGCTGGTAATAGTTGCCATCTGTTTGACTGAAAACTGAAACTGTCATGTTTGGAATCAGGCCAGTTAGTGCTTTCAAAGAACAGCTCGTGCGTTTGCCTCTGGCATGAACTCCCACCCGCCCTCGCTTGCGCATCAAAGATTTATAAAGCTCCGGTCACGGAGCTCGCTTGCAGCGAGAGCCAGCGCAGCACGCGAGAGAGAGAGAGAGAGAGAGAGAGCGTGCGCACGTGCGGTGACTGGCTAGGGGTGGACTTGCAGGTGTGTCGGAGCTGCGGTGAGTGTTATGTGACGTTTAATCAGATCTCCCCAGTGACAGAGCAGGCTGTGTGCCTTCCCAGTGCGGAATGTGCGTCGGGAGCCATTGTAATGTCAGGTTGAGTTTCGGTTCGCCTGTGTGATTTGGCTGGGTTCCCAGACAGCTCAGCCCAGTGGGGGGGGACTTTCAGTTTACTACGAAATACTGCTCCAGGTAAGATCCAGACAAGGTTTTCCCCATTGAAGGGCTGAGGGAATTAAAGTGGCTTCCTTCCTGGGAGGGGTATTTGTGGGGGAAGGGGTGCAAATGAAATGTATAACTTTAAATTCAGAAAGGTTGAAACAATATAATGATGTGCTGATGTTACTTGACTTTTTTGGGGTATTTTCAAAATTCAGAGGGAAACAACACAATACAAATTTGCATTTATATAGCATCTATCACGTTGGGAGGACGTCCCAAGGAGCTGGGGATAGGGGGAGAGGTGCGGGCGGGAGAGATGCCCAAAAGCTTGGTCAAGGAGGAAGATCTTGAGGCATCTATGGGTTTAAACCCACAATGTTCTACAAACAATCATTACTGAACGATTCATTATATATATTTGGGAGACTGCTGGACAGCACACTGGGAGCTGGAAACTGCCTTCTCTTTTCAAATAGGGCCGTGGGATCTTTAATGACCAACCGGTGTAACGTCTCATCCAAAGGACGCCACCTCCAATGATGCAGTGAGCTAATGAAGTCTCACCCAGACTGTGTGAGTTCATGGGGCTTGAAAGCACAGCTGTCCACCTCAGAGGTGAGAGTGTTACCATCTAAGCCTGGATGACACCTAAGCTTTTATCTAGTTGAGAATTAGAAACTGAAACACCTGCCTCTGACATTTAATGTCCCTTTCAACCCCCCCCACCCACCCCATTGAAATTGGCACTCACTAAAAGTATCCGCAAAGTAAATGCAGGATTTACTGGAATAAAACATAACGGTGAAATGGGCAGCAAAAACCTGCTGTGCCCCCAAAATAAAATCCTCCTTAGGGTTTCGACGTTGCCTTTCTTGGTTTTAGATTTAATTTCCGCCCACCTTTATGCCAAGACGCAAAGTCTTGTTTATTTTCAAATCGTTGTAGTGTCCATCTTCCCCCATTATGTAGTGGGTGTTTCTGTCTGTGCCACATACTGTGCTCGGCTGTGTGTGCTGCTATTTCAAAGCCTCTGCTCAGCATTGCTGCTTTCTCCATTGAGTTTTGACCCTAACTCTGTTGTCGGCACAAGAGTAAATAATTGTTGAACAAGTGATGGGACAATAGGGCTGCAGCAGGGGGGGGATTGGAGGTTGGGAGAGGTGGTGGGGGTGGACTTGTCAGCGCTGAGGCCTGGCAGAAATGGCCTCATTCACTTTCGCCTGAACTTCGACAACCTCATAAATCCATCAGAGAGTCTTGACAGGTTAGGAACTCCCACAGTGGGACTGGGAGGGAGAGCGGTCTGTCTGTCTTTAGTTATCAGCACAGATAGATGGTGTTTTAATAAAGCCATCCGATGAGTTGAGAGAATGGTTCTGGCAGGTCGCTGCTTTGTGTAAAGGATTGTCAGGGAAAGCTCGGCGGTAACGACAGGAAAAGTAGCCAGTGGTTTACTTGCAGAACAAACCCTGTCGTCAAGATGAGGTCAATACTGATAACGCCTTTAAAAAGTTCAAACAGGTAAGCAAATGTACACCGTGGAGCCCAGGGGAGATAAGGGCAAGGGCCGGCACATCTCGGTTACAAATGAGAATTTTGACTGAAATGGTCAATTATCTCGCACAGGAAATTAGAGCTAAGCCATTTACAAGTCAATCCAGAAACCATTCTTAACAGAAAAGGTTGTGAGAGTGTGGAATGCATGGCCCCAGAAGGCTGTAAATGCAGGATCAATTCAGCAGCTTAGATAGATAGATACATTAGCTGGTGAGCAAACAGAGGCATGTTATAGCTGGGGTCTTACATACATACATACACACACACACACACACACATACACAGTCATCATTGCATTTGATATAGCGTTTTTCAACAACTCGCATTTATATAGTGCCCTTCACGCCGGATGACGTCTCAGAGCATTTCACAGTAACGGATCCCGGGGCTGAGCCGGGGGAGGAAGGTGACCAAAGACACAGCAGAGACCTGAAAGTAGGGGCGAGGCGAAGGGAGTGAGGAAGGGAGTTCCAGAGCCTCGGGGCCTAGTGGCTGAAGGCACGGCCACCGAGGGTAGAGCGGAGGACTCGGGGGACAAGAAGGAGGCCAGACCCGGTGGAACGAAGGCAACGGGTACTGTTGTGAGGAGAGAGGAGGTCAGAGAGGTCGGGGGTACAGAGGAGTGGAGGGATTTGAAGACAAGGGTGAGCATCTTGAAATCTATCCTCGCTGGAACAGGCAGCCAGTGCAGTCTGGCAAGGACTGGGGTAATCGGGGAGCGGAGTTTGGTGCAGGTGAGAATGCGGGTGGCAGAGTTTTGAATAATCGGGATTTTATGGATGGTAGCGGAGGGGAGGCCGGCGAGGAGGGCGTTAGAATAGTCCAGCCAAGAGGTGACAAAGGCATGGACTAGGGTTTCAGCGGCTTTTGAAGTGAAGTATTGGCGGAGACGGGCGATGAGTCGGAAGTGGAAGAAGGCGGTGCTGGTGAGGGACTGGATTTGGGGGAGGAAGGATAATTGGGGGGCGAATCTGACGCCTGGGTTGCGTACGGGTTCAAAGAGTTTTTGGAGGAGGTTGGGTAGGTGGAGGAGGTGAGAACCATGAGATTTTAGACATTGACGAGAGCCAAAGAGTATGGCTTCTGTCTTGTTAACGTTCAGCTGAAGGTTGAATTTATCTATTTTCACGTCTTCTAGACGTCTCAAAGCACTTCACAGAATAGACTGTAAAGATGAATTGGCTGTATATTTGTGGGCGAGATAGATAGATAGATAGATAGATAGATAGATAGATAGATAGATAGATAGATAGATAGATAGATAGATAGATAGATAGATAGATAGATAGATAGATAGATAGATAGATAGATAGATAGATAGATAGATAGATAGATAGATAGATAGATAGATAGATAGATAGATAGATAGATAGATAGATAGATAGATAGATAGATAGATAGATAGATAGATAGATATCATGTCTTCCAGACACCTCAAAGCGCTTAACGCTTATTGTAAAATGAATTGACTGTATTTTGAGAGCAAAACGCGGCAGTCAATTGCGCACAGCAGTGTCCCAGGAAATCTGTGCAGAAGATCATTGCCACCTGCAAGCAGTAATGTGCAAATACACAGCTAGCTTTGTGCGCACTACATCTTTCTTGGCAAGAGCTTCCATTTTATATTTAACCCCTTCGGCTCCTAACACCTTATTACATCGAGACGTCTCTATGCGCAACAAAGGATGTAAAGTGGGCGCAAGTAGGACAAGAGAATGTGAAGAGGTCAATTGTTTCCTCTGGAGAGCAATTGTGTGTTTGAACCAATTGCATGGATTCGGTGTACTTTAGAGTTAAAATCCGTTTTTGCACAAGTTCATAATTCCCGAGTATCAGGATTGCTTTGATTGTCTGTGTGCCAGAGGGTGAGATAAGCAGGGGATAATAAATGGCTGGCGCTGAGCTGAGCTGTGATTTAGCTGAGGGTTTCCGTTGGACGTTATAGAGGAGGCGAAACTGTAGTGGGAGAGGCTCAGTGATGTCTTGGGGACTACTCAGCCCCCAGATCACTCCCGGGTCTTAGTTTGCTTTTTCCTTTTCCTTCGTGCGCTGGGTACGGAGCCAATGGGTAGGAGTAACCTTTGTGCCTTCATGTGAGCAACAGCTCAGTGTTATGACGGCTTGACCTGGCAGTACATACCCAAACCTCCGGTTGCATCATTAACTAAAATTGCTCCTCGGGTCTCAAAAGGAATTTGAGAGGTGGAATTCCACCTAGACTTTTCTAGGTACTTGAAAAGAAAACATTTGCAAGGCTATGGGGATAGAGTGGGGAAGTGGGACTGATTGGATA